AGAAAGAAGGGCAGGGAAAGAGATGGAGGGAGAGAGATGAGGATCTGGATCGTTGCTGATCTGTGTTCTCTGTGATCAAATCAGAGATGGGAAGCTGTGCCAGGTTAATACTACACTCAAAATCAGAAGAAAGGGGAAAAAGCACAAGGTATCATCTGTGCTGCACACACCTGCATAGGTGCTTTTTCTTCTTTCTTTCTCCTTTTCAAGAACTGACCTGTTCAGACTGTAGATGATGTTCTGTCAGTGGATGGCCATGTGCCCTCATTCTCTCCCTCTCCTCTCCTAGGCATAGCTGGAGAGGCTCTCCCGGTGGAGAGCGAAAAGGACATCTTCGATTACATCCAGTGGAAATACCGGGAGCCCAAGGACCGCAGCGAGTGACGCAGAGAGAGCCAGAGCCCGCAGCAGCGCTGTGTGTGTCTCCGTCTCTCTGCTGTTCTCAGCGCGGGTGTGCAGCTCGGCGCTCCGGGGCTTTTACTTCTGGTGCTGTGTTTTTAAAATGAGTTTTAAAGGGCTGGATCGCAGATCCTGCTTCATGTATGTAAAGGAGGCCTCAGCCTTGCTCTGTACGGGCGTTTATCCTGAGTGGAGAATATTCACCAGTACAGGACGGAGGCAGAAGCACATGTGTGTCCTTTGTATTTAATATTTAACTTCAGTGTCTATGAAAAGCTACCAGGTTGCATCTGCATGACTGGTAAGAACATCGATATTTAGAATTTATTTGCGTTCTTGAGCAGTTTTCACTGTATATAAATTGATTATAAAGCAAGAATCATGAAAGTGAAATGTGTTGTGACAGTTTGCCACGTCATCTGCTGGAAGGTACCCATCAAGCACGTTGTCTCGCATGACCTGGATCAAAGCAGACTGGACAGCCCTGGTCCTGGAGGATCAGTGTGTCTGCAGGTGAAAACAGGCCGGTCTCTTTAAAGCATCAGCATGCAAATGGGCCCAGCTAAGGTGTTAATTGGTTGTTAATAACCGTTGGAGTGAAAACCTGCAGACACCCTGATCCTCCAGGACCAGGACTGTCCAGTCTGCTTTGATCCAGGTCATGCGAGACAACATGCATGATGGGTACCTGCAAGCAGATGACTGCCCGTCCCTAGTCTAGAGCCCGACTGGGTTAGCCCTCTTAAAGGTGTGTCGTTAAAGCCAGCCGAACACTTTTAAGTATGGACCCGGTCCGCAGTGTCAGTGTGGATTCATGCATGCAATTAATGCCCTTTCAGTAAGAGCGAACTCTTGTATTTAGATCATCATTTAGATTTATCAGAGAGGTTTATCCCATATCACATATAGGTGACCTACTTCATCCACCACCGAACTCCAGCCCCACTTCGCAGAAGATCAGTTGAATCAGGGGGAAGACTGGGGAAATCATAGTGGTCAGACCCAGAGTGGAACTCAGCCTCCTGGGATTAACACTCCTGTTCTTCTGAATAGTGCCCTGTAATTAAGCAGTAAGGTCATCTGAAAGATGTAACCTCCATCGACACAATGTCCCTGGGTACTGTACTGGGGCAGTGTACCGGGGTAATGGGTTGGAAATTCTGGTCCAGAGGGAAAAACCCCACTTACTGAACCATCACCACCACTTCAAAACACCCAGTTTGAATCCATTTAACGTGATGCGGACTCGGACGTCACCTAAGCAGTAATTACAGCTGTTGGGAAATGTATTGAAAACCAGAGTCCTAATAAAACAGGTCCTGTGCCAGAGTCGTAGATCTTTTTTTTCCACCCAGTTGTACTGTGCGTCTTTGTGCAGCAACAAACGTCTTGTGGTCTTCTACTGGAATTCTAGCCATTGTGGTTAAAACTAAGGTAGTCCTGACAGAGCTGTGTTTCACAGTCCAAAACAACTTTTGACCTTGACCTGAAGGTTGCTAAACATCAAGCTTGTTTTTTTTCTAATTCAGACTAAGATGTAGTCGTATAATAAGTGATTAGAATATATGAAGAGGGATTAAAAATACATCTAATGGTTATTGGAGCCGCTAATGTGTTGTTTCATGCCCCTCACTGTTGTAGAAAACAGTGACAAAGGAGGCTCTGAGTGAATTGAAAGTCCTGCTGGTGTCTGAGCTGTGGGAGACCTGAGCACAGCGGTGTATAGATGGAGGAGGAGGTGGAGGCTGTGGAAGAGCTCAGCTAGTTAGTTCACGGTTTTCAAAGCTTCTTGCTTAAGCAAAAGCAAGACAATTTGGGCTCCAATAACTTCAACCTTGAGTTGACAAATTCAGCAACTGTTTAAATGGAAAAAGATGCAGTGCCTGTGCAGTGGAGATCTGCACCCTTATCCTCTTACAAGGTCTGACAGAAAACAGGGGGCAAATTCTGTTCTTCAGCAGCGAGCTTTGTGAACGGGCCAGGCAGGAACACCCCTCCGTTTGCAACCAACAGAACCATGAGACCCACTCCACGCTCATTCATATTATATTTATTGAAAAATAAGGAATTTCAGTACAAATTTACAGTCTTTTTCCCAGCAGTCCCCTCCAGGCACTGGGGCTTGTACAGAGGCACTAACTGGCTGATTCTACTCTATCAGGACAGTGTCAGTAGTGGGTCTAAATGGCCTTGGGTCCTTTTATCTGGTGGCCTTAGAAGAAACAGAAACTTCAGTGCAGTGACAGGAGAAGGGCTCCCCTTTCTCCCCGGCCCCTCTCTCCCCGCCCCCTTCTCTCTACCCCTCCCCTTCCCCCCCTCTCTCCCCGCCCCCTTCTCTCTACCCCTCCCCTTCCCCACCTCTCTCCCCGCCCCCTTCTCTCTACCCCTCCCCTTCCCCACCTCTCTCCCCGCCCCCTTCTCTTCTACCCCTCCCATTCCCCACTCCTCTCCTCCAACACCCCCTCCCTCCCTCTCCCTGCCCTGTGGGAGTGCCTGGCTTTCCTCTGGGGGCCAGTCTTCGGCCGGGTGGGGCCCTGCGTGCGCTGGCAGACGCTGAGCCGGCTCTGTCCCCTCTGAGCGTTCGGGGTCTGGGCCTGGGGGCGGCAGACGAGCCCCTGGTTGCAGTCGCAGCGCTGGTAGGTCTCGCGGCTGGACGGTTTCTCCTTGCGGCCACGCTTGGAGCACAGCTCCCCCTCCCCCGGCCTGCGCTTGCAGATCTTCACCCACAGGTGGCGCGCGCAGCACAGGCCCTCGCCGCAGTCCGAGGAGCGCACGCAGGGGGCGCCCTGTTGCCCTGCACAAGGGGAACGCCAGGGTTAGAGTCTCCTTCCCGCACTGCTTGACCTCACTAGAGGCACTTCACCAACCATTACCCCTGCTCCCGCCTGTTCCCCTCCAGAAGAGATGAGCAGGCCAGGAACCTGACTGGTCCCCAGCGATTAAGAAAAGCTGTGCGCTGAAAAGAACAGACTTTATTGAAATCCCTGGACCTTTAACTGATATCCATCCTTCCATTTCTTACTGCTTTATCCAATACAGGCTTGCAAGGGAGCATGAGCCTATCCCAGGATACACTCTGGAAGGGATGCCAATATATCACATGGCACTCACACCAGGGCTAGTTTTCCCAGAAGCCAACTAACCCCCCCAGCATCTCTTTGGACTGTGGAAGGAAAACCATGTAGACGCAGGAGAACATGCAAACTCCACAAAGATGGCACCCCCCGGTCCAGAATTGAATCCTGGGCCCCAGAGGTGTGAGGCAGCAATGTTAACAACTGTGCCACTGTGCCATCCATATTTGTTGTCCTGTAGTTTAAATCATCTTTTTAAATAATATGTATTGCTCTGCTTCATTTTAAAAACTTGTGCCGCCAGGCGCAGGGGTGTGGGACGCCAGGAGCATGGGTGGGACGCCAGCAGCAAGTGTGTGGGACGCCAGGAGCAGGGATGGGACACCCAAACCGTCACACCTCCAAGCTATTTATCGCTGTTACTTCCTCCAGCCCCTCTCTCACCATTACTCTCTCACCTTTCTCATCCTCCTTTCCGGGCCTGTCCACTGGAGGGCGCTGGTTACTCTTGCCACGGACCGGCGAGGTCTTGCCTGTCACAGGTGTCACAGGCGCCACTCTCCCCTCCTCGGGCCGACCACAAACCTCTGAACACAGGCACAAGGGGGCGTCAGAGAGCGCCCACACTTCAGTGAAAATGTTCCTCGCCTTGCCATTTCAATCCCTACGCCACGCGTACGTCAACACCCGCCCGACAGAAACGGAAATTCTATTGAGCAGCAAAACACTGTGAAAATAAATGCTTAATAGCTTCGAACAAAAATAAACAACGAAGCTTGAGTTACAAAATTACAGATCATTTTGTTTGATCTGCCCATGGGGACTCTGTAATTAGCCTCCTCTGTGCAGCGTCTGCAGAAGAACAGGACGATTATACAGCAACTTCAAACAGGCAACCTGATACCTTCAGAAAGAGGATCCCGTCATGAAAGGTACAGCAGTGCACAGTGAGGGCAGTGCAGGTTAGAAAGTGTGTGCTGTTTCTGCAGGCTTCAGGGAAGCTGTATACATTGTGCAGCTTTTCCAACAATATTCCATCCATCCATTTTCTAACTGTTTTGTCTAATTTAGGATCGCGGAGGAGACAGAGCCTATCCTGGCAAGCAGCGGGCATGAGGCAGGGCACACCCTGCGTGGGGAACCCAGTCCATCTCGGGGCAGACAGACATTGACACACACTCACTCTCTCAGACGTTTTCTCAGAAGTTGACCGAGAGAGGAAACCCACACAAACATGAGAGGACATCCAAAGTCCACACAGACAGCACCCCTGAACTGAGGGGTGCCCCAGCGTTGCGGGGCGGCAAAGCTAACGCCTGCGCCCCAGTGCTGCCCTACAGCGGTCTGCTTCAGAGCAGCTCTGTGAGAGACCGGCGGGACCAGAGGGACAGAGAGAGAGGCGTGAGAGTCGGTCCTTACCGTTGATGCACAGCATGCCTGAGCAGCACATGCTGTCGCTGTGGCAGCGGCGCCGCGCAGGGCGGCAGGCGGCGCACACAGGCTCCAGGGGGCGAGAGTGGTCGCAGTACTGTCCCCGGGTGCAGTTGCTGTCCGCTTGACATCGCAAGGCCTGCCAGACAGACAGAGACATCGTGAGCACAGCTCTTGGGAAACATGACAAGCAGCCTTCTGCAGCCCCGGTGCTGACGAGCTGTCTGTGAGATCTCAGCGACCAATTGACTTCTGCCAGTTCATTCCTTTCAAATAGTGGGGCTGAACATGATTGACAGCTATCAGCAGAAGGTCACTGCAAAACCTGAGGGATTAGGGGTCCCTCTGATTTATTGCAGTAGAGTCCTAAAAGCTCAGACTGGAAGCTTAAATATGGCCAAAACCTATCAGCACAAGCTACCTGTGTTTACAGGGACACCTCCACAGTCTTGGGAATCTGGAATATTGGAAGCATCTTTGTTTGAGGCTTGGAGAGTTGTGCCCAAAGCACAGCCCAGCAACTCAAACACACTCTGACCCTCCGAGTGTCAAGTGCTGTTCTGACACTCCTCTGTGGTACTTGGAGTGAGAGAGACCCGAGGGGTGAGAGACCAGAGGGACAGAGACAGAGAGTGAGAGGAGTGATAGACCAGAGGGACAGAGACAGAGAGTGAGACCAGAGGGAGAGAGACAGAGATAAGGAGGGAGAGACCAGAGGGACAGAGACAGAGAGTGAGGGGAGTCAGAGACCAGAGGGACAGAGACAGAGAGTGAGAGACCAGAGGGACAGAGACAGAGAGAGATAAGGAGGGAGAGACCAGAGGGACAGAGACAGAGAGTGAGAGACCAGAGGGACAGAGACAGAGAGTGAGAGGAATGATAGACCAGAGGGACAGAGACAGAGAGAGAGAGACCGGAGGGACAGAGACAGAGAGAGATAAGGAGGGAGAGGCCGGAGGGACAGAGACAGAGAGATAAGGAGGGAGAGACCAGAGGGACAGAGACAGAGAGATAAGGAGGGAGAGACCCGAGGGACAGAGACAGAGAGAGATAAGGAGGGAGAGACCAGAGGGATAGAGACAGAGAATGAGAGACTAGAGGGACAGAGACAGAGAGTGAGAGGAGTGATAGACCAGAGGGACAGAGACAGAGAGATAAGGAGGGAGAGACCAGAGGGATAGAGACAGAGAGAGATAAGGAGGGAGAGACCAGAGGGATAGAGACAGAGAATGAGAGACCAGAGGGACAGAGACAGAGAGTGAGAGGAGTGATAGACCAGAGGGACAGAGACAG